TTCCTGAGGAAGTGGATAAAATGGATGATGTGTAGGAACTTTATGAAATCTAGCAAGAGAGATGGCAAGATGTAATTGTGGAAATAATTTTTCCTGTAGGTTCCTAAATATTTGGCAAAAGAGAATAGGATACAATAAGCTGCATAATTTTGATTATGTCTTATACATGGGCAATGATAGTCCTTTGTTCTACATTTCAGATTTGGGTGGAGACTTCTGAATTATATGAATACCTTAATTTATTTAATGTCAAAGCCATTAATTGTCCATAATGGTGACAAGTAAATATTCATTTGAGAAAGAGGACTACTGTTATCTTAATGTGCATGATATCAACTCTTCAGTTTTGGGCTGCTTCTTTGTTTTTAGTATGCATTTCATATGCCCTTTCACCTTACCGAATCAGTCTGAAGTTTAACCTTGACTGTCCACTGGCCACTCTATCCCAATGAAATGAATATTGGGTTTGGTCCAATCTCACTGACATTTCAAATCTGTAGAACTACTTTCAATTTGAGACAAATCTTAAAAATTGTTTACATTATCTTCTTCACTTTAGAGTGAGTTCATGGGCAAAGGCCACTTTTGACACTGCATATTCTTGTTCATAAATTATTCTTGTGATGGATTTTCTAGAAGCAATATATTTTGACCAATGGAAATGAGCTTAACAGTGGTAGTTGATTCTTATTTTTTTTTTTGTTATGCCAGTTCTCATTTCATTCACAAAGACACTGCTGTTGGTGGAAAGCCTAAGATATTGATGGCCCTTACTGGGTACACTATGTGAGGGTGTAAATCTCTTTATTATTGACAGCTTCTTGATTCATGTTTTTTGTTTGGTATGATACTCAGCAATATTTAATCACAGCTGCTTCATAAATGCTTGGGATATACTTAACAACTACCAGAATTGTATTGAGAAGAGTAGATTTTCCTCCTTTGATAAATGCTGTCCCATCTGCTTAGGTTTTAAAAAATATTCTGCCAGATAAACTAGATAAGAATAAAACTCAGATCTATTCTGTGTCTTCCATTTTGAAATGGAAGATCTAAGCATGACAGAAGATTTGAAAGACAAGGAGTACCTACATCAAGTTCTTTGAGGGCTGGTGAAATTGAATGTTCTGAAACATACTGCTATCAAGAAATGGCTACAATTGCTTCCAGAAGTGATTTGAGACAGAATCATGTATTGCAGCATACTACAAGTAGTTCTTTGTGTTCAGCAAACTCTGATAGTAGCTGAGATCCACCTAGTTTCTCCTGGCAATAGAAGTACATTTTCTTATTACAACTTGTGCAATACCTTCACAATCACACTGCAGTTGGCTAATATTATTTTCACTGTATTCTGATTCCTGATTATCTCAGGAAGTCCAGCTCCAATTATTAGCACATATTCAGTTTTCAAGGAATTGTGGTAGACAGACTTTTCTTTAATTTATTGCACCAAGAAGACACTGCCTATGATAGATAATATCAGATATTTCATCTGAAGTGAACTAGATGTCTCTTTGTCTCAAATCTGAATTTCTAAAGGTTTGTCCACACGCTGTCTTTGCTATGGCATCAAGATGCAGGGCTTATGATTTGCTAAATGATTGTTCTCATAACGGAACCTCCATCTCAGTGCTAGCCTGTTCCAAGGCAGATTGAAGCAGATCAAGGTGATCAAGCCCTCTAGGCAAATATTCTAGAAGCCTGAAGGAGATTAAACTATTATGATTGGTCGCACAATCAGCCAGATTGGACTAGATTTGGCATTTTTATCCACCTATCAAATCCTTTCAAAGGACCTGGAATAAGCAGATGTTATTGTTTGATGGTGTTAAAGGTATCACAGGATATAAGTTGTTCCAAGTAAACCCTTTGCAATTGACTGCTGATAATTTTCCCAGAGGTGCTTTTTCAACTGAAGAAGCTTCTTGGATAAGAAGCAAAACATCTTCAAGGAAAAACGAAGTCCATTTGCCTTTTGAAAAAGCACCTCTGAGATAACCATGACCTGAATGACTGAGAATCTGGAAAGACTTTTGGTGATGATTTTGTCAATGCCAGTGATGTTCAAATAGTGTTATGGCTATTTTGGATTGCACTCAAGGTGCATATTACTATTGATACTATCTTTGTTTACCACAGTTATTCTGTTTCTATTATTGTTATTGTTGTTGTTGTTATTATTGTTATTATTCCATTTGGAGGACTCTAGGGTGCCATTTCTCCTTTGAATGCTGTGGAGACCAAAATCTCCCTGTAATTATTATTATTTTCTTAGGATCAATGGGATATCTGCCTTCTGGAACATGTTTTGCAAATCAGTATTCCCACTGATAAGCCCTGTAAAGTCTATCACTGCTTCCCATCACAGTTATCTTCTCATTAACAACCTCCTTTATCATTCCTTCTTCATCTCTTCTCTCCTAGCTACCAACAACTTTAAGTGCCTTAGGTCACTGCTGGGTAAAAACAGAAAGGTTAATACAAATCTATGAGGAGACTATAAGTTTTAGCCCAGCCTTATACACAAAGCCAGCTGAGTGACTATGGGCTAGTTATTCTCTCTCAGTGCTAAGAAGGAGGCAATGCTAATAAAACTGCAGGGGCTAGTCAAGGCAGTTGCCAAGAGTCAATACTGACTCAAAAGCACCCTGTACCCCCCCAAAACCCCCACAAATATTCCCTCAAATGATGGCACTTCAATACTTGTTTTTCCCCATTAGCTTCTTGTAAAGATTTTGTACTTTTGGGGGGAGACATATCTGCATCTCATTAAATGCTTCTTTCTCCTCGTAACATGGTTAATATACACTCACCCATAATACTTACTCTTGGCAATTTTCTTATTATTGAGTGGGCACATACTTGATGCTACAAAAGAAAAAAAAAGATAAGGCATTGTGACTTTAGCCTGAGAAAAAGACAAGCAGATCAAGTCCCTTTCCCAAGCAAACAGGGATGCTGTGGAAAGGCCAGATCCAAGAGGATGCATATGTGGTGCAAAATTGCTTTCTGGCTCCTTCCTGTCTACTCAGTTAACAATAGGAACAAAGTCCTCCATGTAGCAAGAGCAAAAGATATGAGCCCCTCTCATTTTTCTTTAGCATCTGTAGTTTCCTCTTTGTTCTCCTTTCTCCCAGCCATTGGAACCAGTCAGCGAGAGCCATGATATTCCTGACTATCTGTTTTTTAAAAAGTAGGATCAAGGGAAAAACAATTATCATGCAACTTGAAATTGCTAAATCTGTCTAAAATGTCTTCATTTCCACCCTAAAATAGACATATTTCCCACCCCATCTCTATCTACAAGATCTTGAAAACTGACTGGTACAGAATATCTTCTTCAACTTTTATTTCTGGTTTTGGTGTTACCTACTGGGCTTACTCTTCTGACTTGCTTTTGCTATCTTGTCTTTTTTATTTGAACTGATTATTCTTCATTCATTTTCATCAGCTGAAGTGGAACTATTTGTTGAGATTTTTTTCTTTAAGAACTACCAGTACCAACTGGTAGATAGAAAAATATGGGTTAGACAGCATCCCCACCAGATGGATCCGTAGCTGGCTGACCGGCCGTACTCAGCGTGTGGTCCTCAATGGAACCTCATCTACATGGAGGGAAGTGTGTAGTGGGGTGCCCCAGGGCTCTGTTCTGGGCCCAGTGCTCTTCAACATCTTCATCAACGATCTGGACGAGGGGATAGATGGGGAGCTCATCAAATTTGCAGATGACACCAAGCTGGCAGGAATAGCCAACACTCCAGAAGACAGGCTTAGGATACAGGAGGATCTGGACAGACTTGAACACTGGGCGCTATCTAACAAAATGAAATTCAATGGTGAAAAAAGTAAGGTTCTACATTTAGGCAAGAAAAACCAAATGTACAGGTATAGTATAGGAGGTACCTTGCTCAATAGTAGTAACTGTGNTAACTGTGAGAGGGATCTCGGAGTCCTAGTGGACAATCATTTAAATATGAGCCAGCAGTGTGCTGCAGCTGCCAAAAAAGCCAACACAGTGCTAGGCTGCATTAACAGAGGGATAGAATCAAGATCATGTGAAGTATTAATACCACTTTACAATGCCTTGGTAAGGCCACACTTGGAATACTGCATCCAGTTTTGGTCACCACGATGTAAAAAATATGTTGAGACTCTAGAAAGAGTACAGAGAAGAGCAACAAAGTTGATTAGGGGACTGGAGGCTAAAACATATAAGGAACGGTTGCTGGAATTGGGTATGTCTAGTTTAACGAAGAGAAGGATGAGGGGGGACATGATAGCAGTGTTCCAATATCTCGGGCTGCCACAAAGAAGAGGGAGTCAAGCTATTTTCCAAAGCGCCTGAAGGCAGGACAAGAAGCAAAGGGTGGAAACTAACCAAAGAGAGAAGCAACCTAGAACTAAGGAGAGTTAGAACAGTTAGAACAATTAACCAGTGGAACAACCTGCCTCCAGAAGCGGTGAATGCGCCAACACTGGAAGTTTTTAAGAAGAAACTGGACAGCCATTTGTCCGAAATGGTATAGGGTTTCCTGCCTGAGCAGGGGGTTGGACTAGATGACCTCCAAGGTCCCTTCCAACTTTATCATTATTATTATTATAACTTGTATTTGTTGCTGTTTTTAGACAGGAAAATAAATATGCCATAACATTGCAGTTCACAAGTGTAGAAACTTTTGTTTTTAGGGGACTCCCAGTGCAAAGATTTGGCTTCTCCTTGATCCCTTCTCAGTTTAGCCCAATATAAACTCTTGAATACGAGGAAAATTTGATAAGAATCCCTCTAGCCAACACCTGTTAATTCACTCATCAATACACTAATGCTTTTCCCTGCTTGGAGTCCATTATAACTGATGAATACCATGCTTTTATATATAAATAATTTTTCCCTGAGAAAAAGGTCTCTCCTAATTCTTTTATTTGAGGAAAAAATACTAAATGTGTGTAAAGTCTTGAAATATATATAATATTATTATTTGTTTTTAAACCAGGTTCCTTTCAGAGATGAGATGACTCAGTGTAAAAGGAAACGTGTGGTTCTGCGTAGTCCTCTGGGAAAAATTGAGATATTTGGATGTGAAACAGGAGTACATGAGATACGCCTTGAGGGAAAAGTTGAACCACAAAATGGGTAAGCCTGAATCTAATTCATTATTTTTACATATAAATATGCATGTTAAAAAACCAAGATCTTTGCTACAACTCAATGAGAAATGTTGGTTTCATTTCTTGCAAGAACTTTGCAATTTAGGTAACATTTTTATATTTCCCTTTTTTTAAAAAAAAAAATCTACAAGTTGTAAGTTGGATAGCCTAAAAATTAGAGACTAAAACATTTTTTTAAAATTAGCTACTAACTGCTGAAGGGGCTGGTACCATTTTTACTTTATCTTTATTATTTTTCAAATGACTGAAGAGATTATCTGCTGATTACTGATGGAAGCATTTTTTTTTTAAAATAAATTTTTATTGATTTTTCATTGAAGAACAAAAACATAAATCTTTTATCACAATATCAACCAAAGAAAAAAAAATCAACACCAATCAGTACATTCACGGACGTGTCCAGTGTCCCCCTCCCGCACCACCCTCTCACTTGCCTACACCTTCCTCCTCCCTATCCTACCACCACTCCTCCTTTGATGGAAGCATTTTTAATACGGCTTTAAGATGAGGTCAGGGAGAAGTGTGCTGATGTTGTCTCACAAGGTATCATGAGAAAATGAAAATTGATTCCAAAACAGCAGAAACCTTTTTATTCTCAACATGAATACAATGTTTAATACTTTTTTAAATTTTTTGCTAGTTTATGTATAACATAAAAATAGCAAATATGCATTGCTATAAAAACTTAATTTTATATTCTTTTTTTAATAGCTTTTGATACAATATAAATGAATGGACAAGTCTGAGGCTACTTTGCCAGTTTTTTTTTAATGCTTAGTTTTATTTGGGAGTTGTACTGAAATAGATATAATTTTCAGCAAACATTTTAGGCTTTAACACAGTTCATATTGTACAATACTGACATTAATCTTAAAACCAAGGGAGGTTTTTAAAAGTATTATTTCACATCATAATTTTTTTAAACATCCGTATTCAAAACAATAACATCTTGGTGGCATTAAAAGATGGTGTGCTCCTTTGTCCTGATAAATCACTTTTCTTTTCAGCAATTCAGTAGCAGACCAAGATCTACTGTGTATGTGATGCGTTTTAATGACCAAGGGATTATAAGTCTTACAATGCCTGCTCCTGATGGAATCCATGTTATTACTTTTAAATCTTCTTATCCTGTGCCATCTTCCAGAAAGTCATCTTACCCTCCCTAGCTGTTTAGAGTAGATGAAGCATTTAGAAAGCTCTCACTCCAAGTCTTCTTGTTTGTGGCACAAGGGAATCTTCAGCACTCGTGAATGAACATCAGCTAAAGTTTCCACAAGTGGAGCAAACATTGATTTTTCTCTGCAGATGTCTTTATGCACAAAATGAAAGAGGAGGGAACAGTTATCATGAGTTGTCTCATTGAGGTCACTGGAGAACTTTGTGAATTTTTCATTCACTAAAAAGAGTGGATTTTCTTTCTGCCTTTCACAATTAATAATGTCAAGAATAATACAGAAACAGTGTATTGAAATCTTAAAAACCTTCCAAAACTAAGCTCACTTATGAACTTCCACTTGATACAAATATACATACATAGAAACAAGAAAAACTGAAAGAAATAAACACTATAACTGAATGTGACCTAGAGGCATTAAATCTTTGCAAAATGAATGAAAAATGAGGTAGGATGAAATCACAAACAATACGTAAGAGTGAAGTTGACTTTACAAATTTGGATTCATACTTTGCCCAGCATTATCTCTCTACTATCTCTAGGCCTTTCTGCAGAATAGTTTAGTAATCATCTTACAGTCAAACTTAGCTAACTGTAATAGGATTAGATAAGTTTTAAGTTATTTTATGTGTCATCCAGAAACATTGGCAGGATAATAGCACACCAAATAAGTAATCCCAACTGATGAGTATTACTATTCCAAACTGATTCCATAAAATGTTTGCACACAAATATCGTCACTTGGGGGAGGGGTTGTTTGTTCATCTTCATATTGTGATAAATAGGGCTTTGTAAAACTTTGACAGAGTGATTTCTTTCAGCAATGGTTTTATCAATTCATCCCACTGAATGCTGTTGGAAAATAGCATTAACGCTATAATTTATTCACCAAATGTGACCACACTGCTGGTTATTCCTCATGTACAAATACCTTAAAAATGACGCAAATAGCTGAAGTGGATTAACCCCACCTTGACATTTCATAAGGTGGAGTGCTACCTCTCGTGTTTGCTGTAATTGTAAGGTGAAAACTAAAAGCCTTTTTAATTAGTAGATCCCTGGATTTCCTTATGTCTTATTGGAAAGATATATCTACATGTATATTGATGTTTTTGTAGCAGAAACGTTGTTGTCCCAATACATCATTTTCTTAGGCAATCAGGTTGTGTGGATTATGAAGACAATATTAATCTTTGACATTTGGTCTACCTTATTTTTGTTTCATTATATACGTGAAATAAAAAAACATAACTTAAATAGGCTAATTAGTGGGAAATGGGAAAAATATATAGCAATGCTATGCAATTTTTGACTGATTTTCTTTTACTAACTGGGTTAGGTTCAAATGCAGCTTTTGAGGGGGTAGATAGGTTGACACTGGCCTTACATATCTCAAAATGGAATTGTATATCTAAAGCATGTGTTGTAGAGAAATATTGCTTGCCCTGCCAGAAATATCTAGACATCAATCTCTATTTCTGCAGATTCAATGGATATGGCAGGAAGAGTTATTATATACTATGATCCTCCTTTTATTAAAAATAAACTGGGCTAGTTTTTCTCCTGATGGCTTTTCAGATTATAACTATGGGATTGTTTATACTTACACAGTTGCTAGATTATAAAGGTGGAGAAAAAAAACAAGTTTAATGATAGGAGTTTATTTTTTAACTCATCATAATTCCAAAAATAAAAAGAGATATCCAGATCCTTTTAAAGCATCCATTACAAAATTACTTGCGTTTTTAAGTATCTACAGATGAAAATACAATGTTATCTGTTAAATAAATTATATTTTTGTTATTTAAATCCAGAATAATCGATCATAACTCTCAAGAAATATAGACTCTTCTCCAGCATGATGAGTGTAGAATCCACCGGTGGGTAATCTCAGCCTTCCTGCATAGTTGAGACTAAGTCAAAAATCTGCCACGCCTCCATCTGGGCTGGACCTTGCCCAGTTTTTGACTTAGTCTTAGCTCAGCAGGACGCAGTTTTCTTGGCTCCTTTGAACATAGATTAGGTTAAATAGTTAGCAGTTAATTAAATTAATTATTCAGTCAATCCAAATTAAATTATTAGTCTTACTGATTAATTCGGCTCCAAATTGTATAGGTTAGCTGCCAGCCAGCTGCAGCCTCGGCTCTTGAGAACCTTGCAGGCTCCACCCTAACTGTCCTTCCTCGGACTCACAGGGAGGCCGGACGGCCTCACCGGAGCTCGTTTTCGCCGCACATCATCAGATGATGATCTGGATCGTCTAGTCTAGTTCTCATAAGCAGTAAATAAGTTATTAAATCTTTATATTCTGCTATCATTGTACACTTCAGAGTTCTTTAGGATTTTGAAGTACAATGAAGTTCCATAGGTCCAACATTTTTCTACATTTGACATAAAACAATCTAGGGCAGTAAAGTTGTTCTAGCTACTTCGGGAAGTTTCTTCCCCTTTGACTAGAAAGAACTTGGAGGAACCTTTAGTATGGCATGGTAAAATTCACAAGTTTTGCCAATGCGTAGCCTTTATGTGGCTAATGACTGACTATGCATCAGGTTTTTATAGTCAGGTTCTGTAATAATCTGTGAAGAATATTACCTTTGTTGATATTTTTCTTCAAAGAGTATTTCCTCCATTCGTGATCTCTAATGGACTTTAAAGGAAAATTCAGCTTTTTCAGAATTTTTCTAAAATTATCATAGCTTTATCTTGATTGAATGTTGCTAACATCTGTAAAGATATCACCACTGATGTTTTCACCCAAGGATGGGAAAGAACTCCCTACTTTCTGACCTAGACAAAAGGACAGCAAAAGCCAGGTCTCAAGGCTTTTATAAGGCCAGCAGGGTCAGGAAGTTTGTAGTAGATCAGGTTTAGGCAACCTTGGCTCTTTTATGACTCGTGGACTTCAACTCCCAGAATTCCTGCTGGCTCAGGAATTCTGGGAGTTGAAGTCCACGAGTCATAAAAGAGCCAAGGTTGCCTACCCCTGTAGTAGATGAACAAAATAAAAAAGACTATCTGTCTGGATCCTATCAGATATTACCCTATAATGGACAGGACCTGGGGCATGTGATTGAGCCCATTTCATGATTATGTTAACTTTTAGGCTTTGGTTGGTTTTTCTTGGCTAGTTAATATATTATTCATAATTTTATTTTGCTATTTTATATTAAATATTGTTAGTGGCCCAGAGTCATGTTTTTATCATGAGCTGCCATATAAATTGAATGAATTAATGAATAAAGCCAATATCTATTACTCTTGAGCCCAAGAAAACATAGTTGAAACTTGAGAAAACAGTTAACCTGGAAGCAGTCTGGTAGCCAAATTAAAGCACATGTGCCAAATGACAGGCACCCATAATTGTCCACACTGCTTCATTTTACACCAGCTGAAATTTCTGAATACTCTTCAAGGTCAGCCTCATGTAGATTGTACTGCAGTAGTCCAGCAGTGTTGAATCAGTAAAAGTGAGATTAATCCTAGAGAAGAAATAATTACACATTTTAGTAAAATTATCAATAAGAAAGATATTTCTTTCACAGCAAAGTTCAGAATTCTTTTTCTAGTGGTAATTTGTATTTGTAAAATATGGACTTTGAGAAAGAGTGAGAAAAATAAGATACATGCCTTTGAAATATGGATTTTGGAAGGGTTATTAATCAGTCATAGACAAATTAAAGATTGAATAGTCCCTCTAGATAATGATCAACATGGAACAATCCCATTCTTTGCGCACTGAAGGAGTAGAAAAACATACTGCACAAGGCTGAATCAAGGGAAGGGAGATG